CAGGGTGCCGGGCCAGGCGCGGAGGGCGGGCGCGGCGAGGGCGCAGGACTGGGACAAAGGCCCGCAGCGGAGAGGCGAGTCGGCGTGGGGTGGCGGGTGCTGCTCCCTGAGAGGGGCCGCTTGACTATAGATCCAGGGCAGCGGGCAGCGGCCCGGGCAAGTGGGCGCCGCGTCGGCGCAGTTCCATGTCCCGGAGCGCAGAGAGAAGAGAGGGCGCCTCCTGAATCCTCGCAGCTCGCGGCCCGCCGAGCAGGCAGGAAGGAGGGCACTGGGACCCCCGCGGGCGCCGGACGCGCGCGGGCCTTTGTGTGCGGGGAGGGCGCCGGGACCCGCTATGCGCGCAGCTCCGCAATCCGACCGGCGCCGCCGTCCCCGCCGCGGAGAGTCAGCGCGCCGGGCGCGCTGTCAGAGCACTATAAACGTGGGGCCCCGCCCAGTCGCACGCAGCCCATTGGCCCGCCGCTCTGCGAACGCGCACGGATTGGGCAGCGCGCCCGTCCGTCCGCCGCCCACCCGACACTGGGCCCCGCGAGGTGGGGCGCCGCTGACAGGTGAGCCCCGCCCCCGGGATGAGCCGCGCTGGGCGCCGCGGACCGCGCACGAGTGGCCCCGTGCGGCGCAGGGCGCAGGGTCAGCCGCCTCCGAGTCAGCCGTGCCCGCGCCTGCAGGGTCGCCTCGCCCCGCAGCGCGCCTGGGCTGGCGGGCGAGGTTCTGTCTTCCTGCTCTAGCTGGGGTAGAGCGAGGGTCCGCGAACGCAGCGTTCCTCCGTGCGGCGCTGCCCCGCGAGTGCGGCGCCGAGGCCCTTGGAGAAAGCCTCCTCGCTTGATTCTGGCACCAAGTGGTCGGGCCCGGCCCGACACAAGTCAGATCTCTCTCCCGAGGCAGAGCGAACCTTCGCAGCCCATCGGCAGTGCGAGCCCGTCTGCCGCCCATCCCGACCCCGCGCCCTACTGTGTGCGCCCCGCGCCTATCTTCGTTTGCCTGCTCCCCATTTCGGGTCCTCTCTCCCTGCAGCTCCCCTTTCCCGCTTCCCGCCCACCACCCACTTGAACAGCGCCTCCAAAGCTCCGCTGCTGATGTCTAAGTGCATTTCCTTCACTAGCTCCCGGGAGACCCCGCGACCCCACAGTGGCCGGGAAGTTAGGGGTGACCCATAAGACTACCAGCCAGAGCAGAAGTGGCAGCAGTTCTTGAGACTCGGGTGCTTGCCCAAGACCGGTTTGAGAACCTGCACGCCGGTGACTTCCACGGAGCCACAGCGCCCACTAGCGCTCACTTTTGCCTCTCTGTATTTAACAAGCCTACCCGCTACCGATCAGCGTCTAAGGAATGGATTGATACTTCCCAACTCAAAACACTTGCTTAAGGTGCCCCGCCGCAGGGACACCACGGTAGGCAGAAGGCACAGTCCCCCGTGTTTTTAAATGCTGTCAATACCAGAATCCCTGCAAACGGAACCAGTTTTCACACCTGTTTAACACAATTCCCACTCAGTTACATATACTTGGTTTTGTTACTGTCTACCCCCCCCCCCCACAAACACATCATCCTTCATTACAAATTGGAAACTTTTAAGAGTGCTTTCAAAAATCTTAACAGATGTGTACCGAAACTGGAGTTGGTTTGGAAAGACTGGTCTAACATTAAACCACCCAAAGTATGGAATGGGCTCACTCTCCCAAATACAGCTTTAAGAAAGCCTTTTTTTTTTTTTTGTAATTACTACTTTTAAGTATGCCTGCAAAATGATTGGGGGTGAGGTACTGAGGTCTGAAGCCAGGGACTCACGCTGGGCAAGGGACTCACCCACCACACACACAGCGCCCTGGGAGTAATTGTTGAACTTCCTGATGATTCCCAAGACTGAGAAACTGGCAGGCGCTGTTATTTGAACTTTGAGATAAAAAGCACTTGTTTTCAAGATTTTACTTAAGGAATTCATAGAAATTAGTGTGAAGTTAACGCTGTAAGTCACGGTCTGAACGGATGTTCAGTATGTGTTATGAAATTTAAGTTGTGACCTCTTAGCTCCCCTTACATCCTCTCTCGGGTAAACTAAAGAAAGGAAATTTGTAATGTCTAAAAATAAACCAGTTTCCAAAAATACCATTTTCAGTAAGCCACATATTCTGACACCCAAAGCATTTCACCTTGAGAACAATGTAAATACACTTTTGTCACACATGAAACAGTCCTACTGTGTGACGTTTCAAGGGTTTGGACTTAACTTTGGTGAGCAGATAGATACCTGTGGTCACAAAGACCCAGGCATTGCAAACTTAACATTCTGGTCCTCAACTGCTTATCTAGTCATTTTGGAAATTAAAACATAACCTTAAGCCATGGTAGGTACATCTATCATAATCCCAGGCAAAAAATGCCATAGAACTGTGTACAAAAGAAATTCTAAAGCATGGCCATACCAATCAGTGTAATGCCTTTGCCAGGGGACCTCATTTTACAAATAAACTCTTGGTTTGTTTTGAAAATATGACAACTCTATGTATGCCAAAGGACAGGTACTTCAGCAGAGGAAGTTACTGGTTTCCATAGCTAAGGAAGTTTCTCCAAGTCAATCAAGACCTGGGGATTTTAAAAGTGCAATCTATTATAAAAGTGAATATAAATGATTCCTTAGAGGGAGGCAGCAAAGCTGAGTTTCAGTGACCAATCCATTAGCCAGCAAAAATGCACCTCATACCAAGCCTTATACCCCATGCTGAGCAGTTAGGTCTTCAGACTCTTCTGCAACCTGATCCTTGACTGAAGGGTCAATATAGAGGGAAACACGAGTGGCAGTCAGCAGCCCTGTTTCCTGATGGACCTGTGGAGGTCCATCCATCCAACTGGCTAGGTATTATGACAGACAAGGAAATACACAGCTGGCCTTACTCTAGACAAGGTCTCTGCTTTATAAACTGATTAGACATTTGGTTAAGAACATCAACAGTCAAATGGACAAGTGGAATCACTGAGACAAGGTAATAAAAGGAGCTTCTACTTTTAGCTCACAAATCCTTTTTGCCCTCTTACATGTTACAAAAAACACTAGACCTACAACAAACCAGTCCCATAGTTCTTAATTCCATTTGCTAAATGGAAACCATAACCAGTAACATGTATGAGAGAACATCTTTCATTCTAATCTGGCAGGTACTAAACTGACATTTTTAAGTAAACAATCTGGCTGTGTGAAACTGAGGATCATCAACATGCATCGTTCTTCAATTCACTGGTTTCAATCCCAAGAGTTTTTTGTTTGTTTTTTAAACCATTCCCACATCATCCAACCAATGATCTGAGGATTGGGGAAAGAGCAATGCTCTTTTCAAACAGGGTCTGTCAGTTCAACAAGGACTGGAGCCTAGATGGATCTCTAATTTGCAGAGCACTCGAACACAGAAAACAGACTCTGGGATTTGCTCCAGAAAGAATGGAGGGAGGGGCTCTCCCCATACCTTGAATCCTCTGGACTCTGCCCGGCTCTGTTGCTGCTTCACAAACCACTTACTCCAGTAACCATACCCTCACTGGTTTCCAGAAGGAAAAGCATCCCAACCATGCCAAGCAAATGGCAACTAGCTACAAAACGTATGGTGCTGTGCATCAGCCAATGCAACGGACACTAGGGTGCTGGTGCCCCTCCCCAGGACAGCTCACTTCTAAAGCCATCAACACACGTCACAGACGGCAAGGGAATCAAGACCAGTTAAATGGCAGTCCAACAAGTGGAGAGCTAAGCTGTCTACCATTGGTGAACACCATTATCCATGTCTCTGTCTTTGCCCTTCAGCAACACCTTCAGGTCCTTTCCAGTTAGTAAACCTAATATCAAGTATTCGCGTGACTCCTGTAGCAGGGGTAACTCCCACCTTCAGCAGTCTTGTGGCCAGTAATGCAGAGTGCAGATGCTCTCGGTAGAAGCAACACAGTTTGACACATCTGAACACCAGAAGCTCAAACTAATTGCAGCGTGGAAAATGTTCATTAAGTGACAAACTGAGGATCCTACTTTATCTAGAAAAGGTGACCACACAGACACAGGCAGGACAGCCCATGTGTACATGCAGGTAGACAGACAGACAGAGACACACACACACACACAGGCATGCTGGGGACGTACACTCGTACAGTTAAGTGGCTGGGTCATTCCTCGGCACAGCAACAGGCCCATTTGCTGCGTCCTAAGAGAAACTAGAGTCCTTGCCTGGGGTTCCCTTCCCCTCCTTGAAGCATTAAAGAGTCCTCACACCAAGCTACTTCAAAGGTTTAGTTTATACAGTCAAGAATTCTGCAAACTCCACAATATTAATGGCAATAACTACAAACTTTAAATACTATAATAAAAATAAACAGTCAATAGTTAATTCTATAATGCATCAAAAATTTCAAATAACTCAAGAAAACAAAACTGGGAATTAAAGGCATATTTAGTAAATTAGGGGAACATCTGAACTGCTAATAGATTGTGAAAAAATTTCTTAGCTCTTACAGTACGTACACAAAAGCAGTGGAACAAATGAAAAAAAAAACAAGTTACTACACTGTTGTAGCACAGTAAAAGGTGGGTGCATATTATTAACAATGACATCCTCTTTCCTGTGGCCTAATGGACAACAGTAATGAGTTACTAAGCACAGGAACAATTTAATATCTAGGAGTCTCCAACAGCAGACACTGAGATGTGTCATTTAGCAATTGATCATGTAGCAGAAGAAACTCAATGACGGAATAAAAGGCACGAAAAGGCTGATCTCAAGTATTAGAAGCCCAGGTTACTCTTCAGACACAGTGCTTAGAACACCAGCAGAGCAAAAGCAACTTTTAATGAACACTTCCAAAATCTTTATATACAACCGAGGACAATGAATCTGAATGGAAAAATTACATCAAAGGAATAAAGTATAGGAATCAGGAAATAATTTGAGCTAACTTATGAGATTAAGTATTATATCTATTCAGGTAGAAGTGAATGTGTATTCAGAGTGTTAGGTTATCCTGTTTACTAAAACCTCACTATATAGACCTCATGCCTACTTAAAATTCGATCATTCTTCATCATACCGAAGAGTTGAAACTAAGGCAGCAGCATTTTCCATAGCATGCAAACACAAAATAATCTATCATTTAATCTTCAAGTAACATTTTCAATGTTAAACAATGATATGACTGTTCTGTCGCCAGGGACCGGGTTCTCCACTACACCATGCCTATGCACTTTCGATATCATTTTATAGCCTTTCCTGGAGTGTTTTAACATTAGTAAACGTCAACAAATAAAAAGATTAAATGAGGCAGATTCTACTGTATAAAATCCAGGGTTATCTCTAAGTTTCCACATGCAAAAATACCCAAACAAAAACCCCAAACCAAAGACTAAGTGAATTTAAATGTTTATCCCAAAAATAAACATGCAAGGATGAAGATTATTTTAGCCATTTTGAACAAAGCCAAGTTCTATCTGATGGTCCACCCTCTCTGAAAGTGACTTAATATTCCATAAATTTTAAAAACATACTTTCTAGTGTTTAGTAAGTATAATTTGTGGCAATAATCCCTATTTTCTATAACAGAGGCACAGGTTTAGAATTTTTTCAAAGATAATACTTGATGTTTTAACTCTTATCAGCATAGTGTCTGTAAAAATAGCTAGTAGTACTAATTCACAAGTAGAGTTAATGTACATAGAAACCCTGTGAAAATATAAACCGGAGGAAATCTAGTACAGTTCTAAGGCTTCTAAAAGTAAACCACACTTCAGATTTAACAGAACTTTAAAAAAAAAATTGCTTAAACATATGAATTTAAGACTTTACTTTATTCAGCAAAATCATTTATTTACAGTGGGGAATGCTGGTTTGATTTCGTCAATAAAGAAACAAAAGTCCAACAGAGACAATACTGCACTGCAGGTGCTTCTGTAGCAGGCGACCACCTGTTATCCTTACCTGTTCTCGGGAACACCAAGGGCCACAGTGCCACAAGGACACTGCTGTGACAACACACCACACACAGGCCAGCAAACTCTGGGAATTTTGTAATGCAATCACCAACTTTTTCTTTTTTTATAAATGTATAAAAAAACAAAAAGTCAGCAAAACCAGCATTATGACGTAGTAAACAGTGGTCAGTGAACACCTTACCAGACCAGCTAGTCACCAAGTGACCTGCTCTTAGCAGACCACCAAACAGTACAGAATCCCAAAGGTGAAAAATACACCACTTCTAGAAGACAGCAATGATCTGATAAGGATTCGATGTCATGGAGGAAAAGGAAGGGGGAAAATAAAGGGATTGCAGAGCATAGCCCCTATTAGAACAAGCTAACTTTCCAGATTTTCCAAATTAAAAAAAAAAAAGAAAAAAACAAACAAAAACAAAAAACCACTTCAACATGAAGCTACAATACAAAGTTTTTCATTTTTCTTTGTAAAAAGTTCAGTTTGCCATTCAATCCTGGGTCTTTAATGAGAAGGACAGCTTTGGCCTGGACTTCCCCTTGCCCAGGATAATTTTTTGTTCTTCTTTTTGTTGACGCTGTCGCTCTTGTTCTAGTTTCATCCTTTCCTCATGAATCTTTCTTTGTTCTTCAACAATTCTCAACTGTTCTTCAGCCTGAAAGTCAAATAAGAATGAGATCCGTCATTATCCCCTGCTCTCAGGATCTGTGGCTACCAAGTGATAACCTACAAAACATACAGACATCAGTAGAGGAAAAATAATTGGGAAAAGGACTATTTATAATTATCCCTACATATTTTCTCTATTTCAAGTTTATGAAAAAATGAATTTTATGGACTTGAGTTATCTACAGCAAAGACACAGACTTAGTCCCAGAGTATCTCATCTACCCAATTACTGTACTTATAACTAGACATACACAAGCCTTATAGTTAAACATTCCCACTGTGCCTCTATACTGTATACTCAATAAGTAACCAAGAATTTACCCGGGTGTAGTGGCGCACGTCTGTGATCCCAGTACTCAGGAGGCAAAGGCAAGTGGACCTCTGAGTTCAAGGTGAGCCTGGTCTACAGAGTGAGTACCAGGATAGCCAGGGATACACAGAGAAACTCTGTCTCAGATAATTAAAAATGTCAAGGCCTGAGGTGCCTTTAACACCTTCAATCTTAAGCAACTAACTTCCTCTCCAGAAGAGACAGACAGCCCTTGGTACCATGAAAAGTAAAGCTATTCTCACAACTCCTTCACCAGGACTTTCCTCCTAACTCCCCAAAGGCCACTTTCACCACCTCAATTCTCATGGGTAATCTTTGTCCTTCTCCTAAAGGACATCAGTCATCAATTAGCTGATGACTCTGGACATGAGAATGGGAATAGCACCCAGAGGATAGAAGACAGGGCAATGCATGACAGCAGAGAACCATCCACCCTCAACCTCCAGTGTCAGGAGTAAGAGAGGCTGCTTGTCTTCCCATGTGTGCTCCGACTTTGTCCTAAGAGCTGCCCTCCATTCAACGTTACATTTGAAGTCACTGCTTCTGCCTTACTTTACTTAAACCTTTTTAAGATGGTAATCAACAATAAATCCAGTGATACCCTGTTTTTTTGAATACCACTTTGTTTCCTCCTGTCTCTAACGTCCTCTTCCACATATTCACACAAACAGTGAACACTCTACCCATCATCCTGTCTCTGGTCTCCTTTCATTGTTTTTTAAAGTAAAATGCAATGTGGCTAGGCTGGAGGCCTTTGGCAAAGATAAGAAAGGTAATGGACTATTATTAATGTTACAGGACACAAAATGTGAAATTATGTCATGTGAGTGTCAAATGGACAGAAACTCTCGGGACAGGAAGGCAGATAGGTGGTGGCACAGACAGAGCCCTGCAAGCCCGGCTCCGAGAGGAAAGTGGAAGAAACTGAGTAGCACCCTGGCAGTGGGCCAGGTAAACCCCAGAGCACTGATGGCCACCCATTCTCTGTCTTCTTTCTAAGCAACCTCTGCAGCAGCCTGGTAAAAATGCACTAACGAGATCCAACAGCACCCCAAACTCTACAGGTTTTAGATTTAAATTATTCTCCCCTTTCTGAAAATAAGTACATCCTTTCTAAGGGCCAAGTTCTTTTGTTCCCTTTTCTAATCTTAAAATCATTTATTTATTTATTTAGTGAATGGAGGAATACCACAGCATGATTGTAGAAGCCAGAAGACAACTTAAAGGAGTCAGTTTTTTCTTTCCATCATGTCGGTTCTGGAGATGGAAAAACTCAGGTCAGCAGTCTTGAGGCAAACACCTTTACCCACTGAGCCGTCTTCTGGCCACTTTTTTTTTTTTTTTCCTATTTACTTGAGAGTCTCACACCATAGCAAAGCCTGACCTCAAACTCAGGTAGTCTGCTGGGAGCACTCCTAAGCTCTGTCCCGCCCTATTCTCCCCCTGAAACAGTCTATCAGCTGCTCACAACCACGCTGTCTGGTCTTTTATTCTCTCTTTAGCTTTTGGAATATTTTCAAGTCTGCTGTCACCACACCTGGTAAAGGTTACACACGTCATGTGCACCTAAACTGGTAGACTGTTTCCCACTGTACACTGTACTAAGACACCTCTCCTTTGCCTTCAAATTTCCATTATTTCTACGGAAAAAGAAAATTCCAGCTGAACTTCCAAAATGACTGTGCCCTGCAAGCAGTGAGACTGCCACTAAAATCCTACCTACACAAGCAATTCATTCCAACTGCCATCTCCTCTAGCTTTACTAATGATCACAACACAGACAGAATGATGTGCCCGGGGCTGGTGAGAGGCTCCACGGATTAAAACCCCTTGATAAGGACTGCAATTCAGATCATCTGAAGCCACATATAAATGCCAAGCAGGTGTGGAGGCAACCGCTGCTGCAAGCTGCCTAGCTTGAATAGGTGAAAATTGGTGAGCTGCTGGTTCACTGAGTGAAGTCAAGAGATTGAGAGGACATCCCATGTTAACTTGACCTTTACATGTGTACAAGCGTGCATACACACACACACTGATCACCTTTAAAACCATAAGCCAGCCATGTGGCAGTAGTACATGCCTTTAATCCCAGCATTAGTGAGGCAGAGGCAGGTGGATTCTTAAGTTTGAGGCCAGCCTGGTCTACCAAAATGAGTCTCTCAGGGCAGCCAGGGCTACGAAGAGAAACCCTATCTCGAAAACAAACAAACAAAAAAACCAAACAGACAAAAAAAAAAAACACTTTATGCCAACTACCTACATCAAATCACAGAGCTGGGGTGCCAGCACTAGATACTGAACCAAAGTGCACACACACTTGGGAAACCTTATCCTACCCTAACTTGACCCCAGTAAACCACTGGGATCTTCTGAGTGAGAGTCAAAAGGACAGCCTCCCATACATGAAAAGTCATTAAAGTCAGATATAATTTTCAATACCATTAATGTCTGACTCAGATACTTACTGAAGAGCAGCTTAATTCATCAAAACTACCTTTATAATAAATTTACTCGCTGGGCGGTGGTGGCGCACGCCTTTAATCCCAGCACTCGGGAGGCAGAGCCAGGCGGATCTCTGTGAGTTCGAGGCCAGCCTGGGCTACCAAGTGAGTTCCAGGAAAGGCGCAAAGCTACACAGAGAAAGCCTGTCTCGAAAAACCAAAAAAAATAGAATAAAATAAATTTACTCAACAATTTCAGTTTCTGGAATTTCCTTTATAAATACAACTGTAAACATGCAAAATGTATAATTACTGTATGTACAAGCCAGGTAAGCCATGATCCTCTCCTCAACTGCTTCTTCACCTTGCTTTTGGAACTGCCTCTCACTGTACCTGGGCTAGCCAACAGACCCAAGGACACTCGTTATCCCCACCCACCCTGGCTGGGATTACAAGCTTGTGCTACAGAACACGGTGCTTCAGATGACACTCAGGTCTTCACACTTACACAGCAAGCTCCTGTTTGACTAAGCCATCTTCCTGGACTCCCAGATTCATAGTTCTACAGGGCTATTTACTCTAACAGTGTGGAAAAGGAAGTGATGAAGGCTAAAGAGTCTATAAAGATCTGTAAAACAATACTGCATACTTATGAAAAAACAAAACAGGTGGCTGGAGAGGTGGCTTAGTTTAGAGCAGTGGCTACTTTTCAGAGGACCCAGGTTCAATTCCCAGCACCTACATGGTGACTCACAACCACCTATAAGTCTTCTGTTCTCCTTGAGCACTCAACCCATGTGGTGCAGACGTGCATTAAATACTCTCACACAACAACAGCAAGCAGCTGAGGAGGAGGCTCTGGGGCAATGTGCTTGCTGGGCAAACACAGGGTCGGAGCTCAGATCACCAACATGCCTCTAAAAAGCTGGCTTCAGTGACTGGCCCACATCCAGCGGGTGCCGTGAAGAGGAGCTAAAAGATCTCTGAAGCTCACTGGGCAGTCACAGACTATCTGAACTAGTTAGCACCAGATTTACCAAGTGACTTTGTCTCAAAATGATAGGAAAGAATTACCTACACCCAGTGTCTACCTCTGGCTTCCATGTGTGCTCCCCACCCCCAAAACAATATCCAGAGAAAGAAAAAAAAGGGGCCAGTACATTCTGAAGCAGAACTCTTCAATATATATTAGGGGGAAAGGCAAACTAGCAAATAGTAAGCAGAGGGTCTTACTTCTGTGTGATCAGGGGAGAACAGAAATACAACATATTTATATATGCTTGAACATGCAACTCAAGAACTCTGGAAAAACAAAACCATAACCAAATTGTCTCCTTTGAAGGTGGAGGATGGGAAGCAGACAAATGAGGTAAGACAGGAAATTAGCTCTGTTTAATAACCAAACAAAACAAGACTTTAAATCCAGGAGCAAAAGTCTGCTTCAAATGCTGCACTGAGCTCAAGTCTCAGCTGCAGCTCACCCACAGTATATATAAGCCGCACTTAGGACCTGCTGCACTACAAGGGCTACCCTGTCTCTGCTCTAACCTAGTAGCGGGATTAACCTCTAGTGCTAGAAGCAGACAGTGACAAGCCTTCACTTTTCAGTGAATCAGCACATAAGCCAAACAGGCAAAGGCCCTACCCATGCATCCATATCTGTTCTTTATGCTAGTGCAGCTCGCTTCACACTTCTTCACAAGTGGAATCCTCAAACACAAACTTCAGTGACCTCTCACTTTTAATACCCAGGCTCCCCAGTGATGACGTCAGTTTGTCATCTAGTGTATCTGAACCTGGTACCATGCCAATCCCTTACTTACTAGGTACTTTCCTAAGCCCTGACGTCCCTCCCCAGTTGAGGCCACTTGTCCCCTCCTTTTCTTGTGCCCCTGTAATGAGAACTGCAGTATCTGCATGGGGAAGAGAAAAGCACCAGTCACCTTATCCATAACGGTTATTGTGTGGACACCTGAGAGGCCAACAAGATCAGTGTCTACTGCAGTGAGGTCATTAAGACCACTGCTTCTGGCCATTATGTCTAGAACTCAGCATCTCATGCCTAGAGTGGCTGGTGAAAAGGAATCAGAAAACCACAAGGTCTTTCTCAGTGTAGGGCCTGGCTGCTCCATCTAGTTTACCAGAGCCCACTGCAACATTAGCATTCTCCTTCTTGTCTGAAGGCTAACAATCGAGAGGAAGAAAACACTTACG